ACAGTATTAGGTTGTGCTTTTCATTGCGAATTCAACGATGTACGATACAATACGGTTACTTATGTTTTTATCCAGAAAAATGGCTTTTTAATACATTTCAGTATTTAAATGGAGTAGGCCATGACAAAATGACATCCAGTCAATTTCAATGACACATTAATGTTATTTGTCTTTGTTATCAGTCGATCATAAGTTTATTCCTTTAGTTATTGTTTTTGTATTTTTATTGTTGTTGTCTTTTTCTAATTTATTTTGTTCTACAATGGAGGGAGGTAATTTTACAAACGAAGAAAAATGTGATATGCTGTCTTGCTACATCTGATGCCAAAGAAATTGTGTGGAAGCCGAGCGTATGTATTCTAACAAATACCCAGAGCGGAGACAACCTGACAAGAGTATTTTTCGGCGTTTGTTATTTAATCTGAAAGAATATGGATCATTTAAGAAGCCTGCATTATCCCGACAAAAACCTTCCAATGAAGAAAACCAATACATTGTTCTACAATCTGTTATCGAAAATCCACAAACTTCTACCAGAGAAATTGAAGACCAGAATGGGGTAGCTAAATCTACAGCTCAGTTTATTTTAAGGAAAAATGAATTTAAGCCTTACAAATTCAGAATATGTCAAGGAATAAAACCGGGTGACGACGAACGACGTAGACATTTTTGTGAGTGGTATACCAGGATGTGTGATGAGAGTTTTAATTTTCCATATAAAGTGATTTGGTCTGATGAAAGTATGGTGACCAATAACGGTATTTATAACAGGCGCAATACACACTATTGGTCGCAACAAAATCCACGTGTTAATAGACTATCCAGACATCAAGTTCGCTTTGGGTTTAATATTTGGTGTGGGATTTTTGGTAGCAAGATTATAGGCCCTATTTTCTATAATAATTCCTTAACTTCCGAGCGGTACCTTGACATCTTGAGGCACGATTTAGAAGATGCCTTAGATGATTTACCGCTAGGCGCTGTGCAAGGCTGCTGGTTCCAACAAGATGGTGCCCCAGCCCATAACTCCAGACAAGTTCGCCAATATTTAACTGAACGGTTTGATGGAAAATACATTGGGACTTACAGTGAAACACCTTGGCCTCCAAGGTCCCCGGACTTAACTCCCTTGGACTTTTTCTTATGGGGCTACATAAAAAATGAGGTATTCAAAGAATGTTTTGACAACGAGGAACAATTACGTCAATCAGTACGAGCAGCGTTTAATAAAATTACTCCTGAAATGTTAAGTCGTGTTTTGGAGTCTACCGTGAGACGGGCGTACTTATGCCTAGAAAATGGAGGTCATTTATTCGAACATTTGTTATAGAATTTGTTTTTCATTAACTTGTTGGATTTAGTTGTTATGTTAAATGAACAGTTAGAGTTAGTAAATAAATAAACACATTAACTCGAACTTGTCAACCATTTTCTTTTGCCTTTCATCGTTCGGATCTCATGGCCTACTACAATAAAATACTAGAAATGTATTAAAAAGCCATTTTTCTGGATAAAAACATAATTAACCGTATTGTATCGTACATCATTGAATTCGCAATGAAAAGCACAACCTAATACTGTGTGTACTTTTTTTCCGTCCCATAAGAAAAATCAAAGTTGATGGTGGTTCCAGGGAATCGAAACGCTGTAATGAAAATTTGTTAACGTCAATTTGGAGAGATTAAAAAGTGCCAATGGAAAAGTGTTTTCCGTTTTTTCATATCTTTTCAAATAGCTTTAAAAAATAATAAAAACGAAATCGCAATATTTCGTTTTTTCTCGGATATTTCCGGAACGGCTTGGAATTTTCAAATTTGTAAAACGGGATCTTGTTCCGTATCAAAATGCGCAACTTTTGTCTAATTTAACCGACACTGTATCTCTTATAGTTTCCGAGATCCCCATGCTGTGCATCCTTATCTTGGACACACTGTATATATATATATATATATATATATATATATATATATATATATATATATATATATATATATATATATATATTCTCACGTATTGATTCACGGATGGAAAAATGTGATGACACTATATTCCGGGATATCATCCGTTCGCTCGTTGAACTCCGACTGGAATCCTGCAAATCCTGCATCCGACTGGAATCCTGCAGACGTTTCGCCAAAATCTCACTTGGCATCTTCAATGCTAGCGCTCCGAAAACACTTCGAACACGAGATTTTGGCGAAACGTCTGCAGGATTCCAGTCGGATGCAGGATTCCAGTCGGATGCAGGATTCCAGTCGGAGTTCAACTATGATATCCCGGAATATAGTGTTATCATATATATATATATATATATATATATATATATATATATATATATATATATATATATATATATATATATATATATATAAACTACAACACATCGCCGAAATTTAGTTTTGGGGCAACGGAATTAATTAGAAGTGAAGTAGAAAAAATATCTGCTTCTGGTTGGAAAAAATGTGTAAAAGAAGAAAAAAATGTTTACAGAAGTCGACGGCAGAATTAAGGGCGACGAGTCCAGTGACGATGGCGATTATTTTGATGTAGAATAACTTTTTTGGTATAAACATTCTAACATTGTTTTAACAACCATAAACAACTATAAAAACCATGCTGTGTACTTTTCAAAGTTTGAGCAGTGTCACCATCGAGTAACATTGTTTTAGTGAGACTCTAAGTTCCATTTAATATTCTCCTTGTAGATTGGCACATAGAACACGTAATTATGAGAATCTTTTATTTTCCTCGATCGCAGAGGTATATTTAAATGGCTTATGCATAACTTTTTTCTGTATGACAACACTCTTAAAATGTTGGAATAAAATATCCGTTTATACTTGGACCGATCGGGCCTTTAAACTGTAATTCCAAAATTACATCGCCCGGGTACTAACAAAATTATTCGTTTTTCGCCGATTTAGGTCGAATTGGGGTCGAGTTTTATTTGATCTTCCCCCGTCTCCGGCAGATTAAACGGACGCGGCCCCAAATTCGTGTCGCATTTCTTTCTGTTTGAAATGTGGGAATGGGCTGAACCCGAGGTCGTCTACTATCCAAAAAAGAAATGCAAGAATGAACTTAGGGACCGTATAATCGATTTTCCATAATCGGTTTCATTTCCGTGTAATTTTCCGTGGGTTCAAGCAATTAGGTTTTCCATTGAATTCAAATCAACGCGTTTTCGAACGCTAGTTCGATCTGCGGAAGCGAAAACTCTTCGTTAATTTTTGTCGAGTCTTAAGTCGGGGCATTACGGACGGACGGGTTTCTGGTACGCTCGGTTATTTTATTCGGAAAAAGCGGAAACGACGTCCTTGTTGAAGTCGCAAAATCAATTTGCGACTTTGTGCCGCCAGAGTGGAAAATTACATTGTGACAATGATGACATGACGAGTTATGAATGCTTAATATACCTCTACTTTACTACAATCGATTATGCCGCATACAAAATACGTGCTGGTAGTTGTTTAATTGTTCTTTTGAAAGACGCTAGGTTTTAGTTTAATAGATAAATTAAATCAATGGGAAAACGCGTATTCATTTTTTTTATAAACCACTGGCCAAATATATAGCTGTGTTTTCTTTTATGTTCTTTAAATTCCTACTGACGTTGGACAATTAATTATTTTGAAGGGCTCCTAAAACCACTATAACAAGCAGCTTTTCTATTAAGCTATTAATTTTAAAAATATTGTATTTATACTATTGAATTCTATGTAAAGAAGCGCATTTTCGAAAGGTACCCAATAAGTCTGAAAGGGAAACAGAACTGCTAAAAAACGGCACACAAAAGCTTACATCCTTTTTTGAAATGCTCTTTTCCAAAATAATTAGTAATGAAGGTCAAATAGCTGCTATTTGGAAGGAGGCCTGGATAACACCCATCCATAAGAAGGGAAAGCGAGACGAGTGTGCCAACTACCGATGTATTTCGGCCACTAGCACAGTGAGTCGGGTGTCTATGGGAAGTTAATTAAAAGCAGGCTTCAGAGTAGACCGATCGTGATTGGATCACATATCTAGCCTGGTGCAGCTGAATGAGAAAAAGGTGGCAACAAACAGAGAAGTTCACAAAACAAAATACATGTATGTGGGCGGAGAAGAACAGGATCTGGAACTAAGATGGATAATAGTGGACGAACAAGAAAGGAAATGGAAGACCGAATAGTGAAGGGGAAAAGACTCAGAAGTCCAGAAGAAACATCCTTGAAGAAATAGCAACGACAACTTATACGGGTTGGCCACGTAGAGAATGGACACTGTGTTGAGGGTTCGAAGTGTTTTCGGAGCGCGAGCATTGAAGATGGCGAAACGTCTGCAGGATTTCAGTCGGAGTTCATGACACTATATTCCGGGATATCATCCGTTCGCTCGTTGAACTCCGACTGGAATCCTGCAAATTCTGCATCCGACTGGAATCCTGCAGACGTTTCGCCAAAATCTTACTTGGCATCTTCAATGCTCGCGCTCCGAAAACACTTCGAACACGATGCAGGATTTCAGTCGGAGTTCAACGAGCGAACGGATGATATCCCGGAATATAGTGTCATCACATTTTTCCATCCGTGAATCAATACGTGAGAATATATATATATATATATATATATATATATATATATATATATATATATATATATATATATATATATATATATATATATATATATATATATATATATATATATATTTATATTTATATATATATATATATATATATATATATATTTATATATATATATATATATATATATATATATATATATATATATATATATATATATATATATATATATATATATATATATATATATATATATATATATATATATATATATATATATATAAATATATATATATATAAATATATATATATATATATATATATATATATATATATATATATATATATATATATATATATATATAATGTATCTACTGGTAACGAAATTTTGTAAAATAAAATCCGATGGAAGCAAATTTACTTTACTGCGACTCACCCCTCGAAAGGCCTCCGAACATCTTTTCCACTCAATCGCCTCCAGGCCTGACGGGAGAAGTACTCGCTGAGGATCTTCGAATAGGTATTCGGGACCACTTTCCTCAAGGACCTGCTGGGTGGATAGAAAAATATGTTATATATTATCCAATTATTATGAAGAACTTATATATTATTTTTAAAAAATTATAGTTATTGATTATTTGAAACACGAAGAATATATTTTTTCTTTTCTAAAAGGGATTAAACAGAGACTAGATATACTGCTAACCTTGTCAAAAACAAAAAATTGAAGAAAAAAACAATTACGCGAAAAGAGAATAGTAAACTCGGATAACAACATGAAAAGAATGTGGTCAATCTACGGCGAAAGTACAGAAAAAAAGTAAGAAAAACCTTCCAGACTTCCCTGAAGATCCTACAAAATTTAAAAACGATTTTAACAAGCACATAAGAACCATATTCTCAGCACTTTTGGACGCGCACTTATGTCCCATTTCAACATAACAGGTAAATTGAAATACTAGAAATTTTCGTTTATATAAAAAACAAATATAGCAGTGGCTATGACCAAATTCCGGCTAGTATAGTGAAACTATCGTAATACCACAAGTTTTGTGTTACTTAATAAACAACTCAATCAAGAAGCTGTCTTTCAGTTTACAAAAAAGGAGACTTGAAAGATCTAGATAACTATCCACCATTTGGTCTTTTACCTAGTTTTTCCAAACTGTTTGAAATGGTGATATGCTCCAAATTAGTTGATCATATGAATAAATGTCAATTGTTCTCTAGCTCTCAACATGCCTAATTAAAAAACAGATCAACCAGTTCCGCCATTTTTCAGTTCACAAAAACCATCTTGGAGCAGTTTGAGGAAAAAAATTAGCCGTAGGTTCATTCTTAGACCTCAGTAAGGCATTCAATTGCCTGGACCATAAAATTTTATTGGATAAAATAGGATTCGTGGCAAAGCACTGAATTGGATACAATCAAACCTTTCAAACAGAAAACAACACCTCATCGTCCAAACACGATATTACAAAATCTGAAATCTTACAAAATAGTACCGGGATACCACAGGGTAGCATACTAGGACCAATCCTTTTCATTTTTTATATCAACGATCTACCAATGGCATAGACATTTTTTTGATAACAAATATTTTAGCACCTGGAAACCAACAAAACCAACTAACAGTCAATCCTAATAAAACAAAGATGATTTTATTTAGAACACAACAAAATCAAATAGCCCAGACTCCTGACTATCTATCTATCTATCTAGAAGCCTTAAGAACTGTTTATTGTGTCAATTTTGAAAGTATTGTACCGTATGACATAATATTCTGGGGTTGTAGTTCTGAACTAAAAAAAGTGTTTATTATTCAAAAGAGAACTGCAGTACATTGACTTTTGCAGAGAATGCTTATGATAATGACCGTGGGTGGAATCTATATTAGCAAATATTTATATTTAAAAATTGAAATGAATTTATCCCAAACATAATTCACAATTATAACACTCTAACCTAGAATATTATGGTACCTAGTCACAGACTGTCAATAACTGAAAAAAGACCTTATTATATGTGCATCAAGATATTTAACCATCTACTGTGAAATGTATAAGCACTATTAAAAATTTTAAGAAAAGTATTAGGAAAATGTTAATAAGCCTAGAACCATATAGACTTGACGAATATTTTGGTTAATTATATGTCTGCTTGTGACGTCATTTCATTTGTACTTAGACCTCAGTAAGCAAATTGAAATAAAGGAGTATTATTATTATTACTAAAGCTCACATTTCCCAACCTGTTATTTTAGAATCAATATCAAAGTTGTGCCGGTGTATTTATCAAGGGCTCGAAATTAATCGGACCCCAATTAAAGTTTGATTTAGTTCACGTTTCGGATCATTTGTACCACGTTCGTGATATTCAGCCCGCGTTTTCCTTAATTTAGATATTTTCCGAGGAATCCCTAAATCCGACCTCAAATCGCCCACGGCAACGTTTGTTAATTAAATTATAATCGTCCTGTTACCTTTGACGTTCCCCCCTGGTCCCACTTTTCCGAATTTAGATCGTGATCCGACCATTCGGCAAAGGGTAGAGAATCTTTAACGTCTGCTGGATTATTTTCTCGGTTAAAATTTGTCGCGGACTTCGAGCTTGCCGGTTTGGTCGACGACGACATTTGAATGACAGTGACGTTGACGTTTTAGGGTTATATTTCATGTAAATTTCTACGTACGGCTTTAGTCGTCGTTTCCGTCCATTGTAAAATCCATATATAACATGGCAGTGACAAGAAGATTAAATTTTTTCCCTGCTTTAAAATGACCAATTAACCACGGATCAAGAGTGCGCAAAGTGTCACTTAAGCTTAGCTTTATTAATATAAACTAACTGGTTTGAATATCTCTTTATTTATGTCGAAAAAAAAACAACTTATTGAAATGAAGTTAGTAAAGAACCATCTAAAAAACACGTTTTCGTTCAGTAAAACGATTTTTTTTTTAATTCTAAAGAAATGGATATTGCCAAAGAGACATAGCCAACATGGTAAGTAAATTTATCAAATGTTAAGCATATCACTGAGCGTTACTGTATCGAAAATAGGGTCTAGAATTAGTCAAGGTTAGCTCCAAATAAGATCTTCAATGAACCTGAGAAAAGACGGATTGTAAGGGAGGTATCGAATTATAAAAAAAAAGTGCTTCAAAGATGTGTGTCCAGGTCCAGGAAACAATTCGACGAATTCGGCCGGAAAATTAGTTTACATGGTCGAACTAAACTTATTTGGATCCGATGGAAAAATATCAGTATGAAGAAAGCCTAACGAAGAATTAAAATTGAAAATTTTGCTACGATAAAGAACAGTGGAGGTGGAGTAATGTTATGGGGCTGCATGTCATCTGCAGCAGTAGGTAATATGCATTTCATTGAAAGAAATATGAACCAATATGTGTATTTGGAAATAGTAAGACAGCATCTGGTTGCTAGTGCCCAAAAATTAAATATGGGTAACAATCCAAAGCGCACGTCATTTCGGATCCTCAGTTGGTTGCTTCATAACTGCCCAAATGTTATGAAGACACCAGCCCCGTCACCAGACGTAAACGTAATTGAAAATTTGTGGTTAACATTGAAAAACAAAGAAAATAGTTCCCCAATATCTAACAAGAATGAATTTCCCCGGAGTATACTAGAAAATTAGTTGAATCAATACCCAGAAGACTACAGGCCGTTATCGATAATGAGGGAGGTCCGACTAAATATTAGCAGGAGTATTTCAAATTATGCAGTTGATTTGGTTATATTTTGTTTTTCATCATTTAAGCTATGACATTAATATTGTATATAATTAATATTTCATTATAAATATTTAAGACAAAAAGTAAATCAGTTAGTTTTTGTTATAGCTACTGCATCATTTAAGCTGTGAGTCACTGGACTGCACTACAAAATGCAACATAATATAACATAACATTGTCCAGCTCGCTTTCTGTCACGTCTGATTTTATTCCTTCCATCCAGATTCGCCTGGGTCTTCCTCTCTCCTTCTGCCGGGAGAAGTCCATCTTAGAATTTATTTTGGTAGCCTTTCATTACCCATTCTTTGGCCATACCATCTGAGTTGTTTCATTTTTGTATCATCCATGATGTTGTTTCTGATTTTATTTCTTTTCGATTTTCCAGAAGTCGATTTCTGTCATCTTTAGCTTTCTCTCATTTCGCTTCACTTCTATATGTTACAATGCTTTTGCCAATCGAGTTGTAAATTTTTTGTTTGTTCTGTTTTGAGATACTCTGATCCCATAGTATACCATCTAGTAATGAGATAGGTCTCCTACCTTGGAGACCTTTAGACCCAAATAGTTATTTTCTTTAGTCTGTATAATACGTTGTTTGGTTCCAAGAATGGGGTCTTGTTGTGTGCCTCCTATACACATATATTTTATTGCACTTCCACTTGTATTCTTCAATAACCGTTCGTGTCATGTCACTATAAGGGCTGTGTCAGAGATAGAAAGCTATTAAGACGCCTTTTGAAGAGTTGAGTTCTTCCTGGTCCCGACGCCTTCTTATTTTTGAGGCCTCTACATGCTTCCTTCACTTGGAGGGTGATTTCGGAGTTGTCGAATGATTGTCGATCCGGTGTTGAGAATTTTAATTTAATGAATAAGGAGGTAATAAAATCGAGAATGAGCCTAATATTTAAGTATTTAAAAAATTATAGGTGCTGCCAAAAATGTTCTTAGTTCCATTCAGTTAGGTAACAAAAGTATTGGCCTGAGTTTTATTAGGGATGTTAATGATCGGACTTATATATATTACCTTTTATGGAGGATGAGCTCTTGCATATTTTAAAAAATAAATTAAAAAATACAAAGTCTTCTGGATCCAATGGCATACCAACGTTTTTATTAAAAAGAGTACGGAATTTGAGAATAGGTCCGCTAACATTCTTGGCGAATCTATCGTTTCTAAGTGGCACATTCCCATGGTGTCTAAAAAATATTGTAGCTATTATGTAAATGACCATTCCTATATAATTTTGTAGTTGTCTTCGGGAAAATAAATATTATTCTTACTTCCATATATTCTAGTCCTAGCGGGGAACCTATTGTAATGCTGTCTTGTGTTCACTGATCGATTTTTTATCCTTTGTGATGATTACATTCTTTCTCCCAAGTTTCGTTCTTCCTTTTTATAACGTATTTGCAAACTTTTGCCTGCGTTTCTTTGTAAGCCATTTTGTCTGAGTCTGCTTTGGTGGTAAGATGTTTTTGTAACCTAATTTTAATTATTCAAAAACATAATTGAATATTTTCTCATCTTAATTGTAATTTGAAAATTATGTTTTTTGTTGGTGTTATTTATAAATCAACGTTTAATTGCATTTAGCCGCCAATGGTATTTAGAAGATAATTTATTGAGTCAGTTTGGTGTGGCATTGCTGCGAATTTGGATATTTTATGATTTGACCTCGATGCAATTTCTGTTGTTAAAATTTTGGAAAGTAATAAGTTGCACAAGCAAGTGTTATTCTAATTTTTTTATGTATGCACATAAAAAACAAGTTAAGCAACGTTAAGTTTGGGGATC